GGAGTTTGAGGTTGCTGTGAGCTATGACGCTATGGCACTCTACTGAGGGTGACACAGTGAGACTTTGTCTCAAAAAATAAAAAAATTGGGCAGCGCCTGTGGCTCAAAGGAGGAGGGCGCCAGCCCCATATACCAGAGGTGGCGGGCTCAAACTTAGCCTGGGCCAAACACTGCAATAAATAAATAAAATAAAATAAATTTTTAAAAAGGCTTGGTGCTTGTAGCTCAAGCGGCTAAGGTGACAGTCACGTACATCAGAGCTGGCAGGTTTGAATCCAGCCCAGGCCTGCCAAACATCAATGACAACTACAACCAAAAAATAGCTGGGCATTGTGGTGGGCGCCTGTAGTCCCAGCTACTTGGGAGGCTGAGGCAAGAGAATGGTGTAAGCCTAGGAGTTGGAGGTTGCTGTAAACTGTGATGCCACAGTACTCTATCCAGGGTGACAGCTTGAGGCTGTCTCAAAAAAAAAAAAGAAAAAAGAAAGAAAAGACAAAAGAAATATAACTCAGGAGCAGGACTTCTGAATAATTAATAATAATTGATACATTATATTTATCAATAATTTATTTAATTGGGCGGTGCCTGCCTGTGGCTCAAAGGAGTGGGGCGCCAGCCCCATATGCCAGAGGTGGTGGGTTCAAACCCAGCCTTGGCAAAAAAACTGCAAATAAATAAATAAATAAATAATTTATTTAATTATATTTACAATATAATTTGTATATATAGGGTGTCCATAAAGTTTGTGTTTAGGGTGGTGCCTGTGGCTCAAGGAGTAGGGCGCCAGCCCCATATATTGGAGGTGGCGGTTTCAAACACGGCCCTGGCCAAAAACTGCAACAATAAATAAATAAATAAATAAACTAAGCCCTTATTTAAAAAAGTTTGTGTTCAATTTAAAACATATGAACTTGGCTCGGCCCCTGTGGCTCAAGCGGCTAAGGCGCCAGCCACATACACCTAAGGTGGCGGGTTCGAATCCAGCCTGGGCCCACCAAACAACAATGACGGCTGCAACCAAAAAAATAGCCGGGTGTTGTGGCGGGTGCCTGTGGTCCCAACTACTTGGGAGGCGGAGGCAGGAGACTCACTTGAGCCCAGGAGTTGGAGGTTGCTGTGAGCAGTGAAGCCATAGCACTCTACCCAGTGGGACAGCTTGAGGCTCTGTCTCAAAAAAAAATAAAAAATAAAAAAATAAATAAAACATATGAACTTTATGGACACTGTATAATTTATTATGTAGGCTTATAATATATGTTTATATTGCATATACTAGCTAACTTGTATTTTTGTTTGTTTTATTCATTTATTTTTTGAGACTGGGTTTGACTATGTTGCCTAGGATGGTGCTTGAACTCCTGAGCTCATGTCATCCTCCTGTCTCAGCCTCTCAAGTAGCTGTGACTACAGGAGTGGCTGTAGCCTCGCTTATATTTTTATTTATTTATTTATTTATTTATTATTTATTGAGACAGAGTTTCACTGTGTTGCCCTCAGCAGAATGCTGTGTTGTCACAGTTTACAGCAATCTCAAACTCTTAGGCTTAAGCAATTCTCTTGCCTTAGCCTCCCATAGCTGGGACTACAGGTACCACCACACAAAGCCTGGCTATTTTTTTGTTGTAGTTGTCATTGCTGTTTAGCAGGCCCAGGTTGGGTTCAAACCCTCCAGCCCCGGTGTATGTGGCCAGCGCTCTAATCACTCAGCTACAGGTGCCAAGCTGGTAAAAACTTTTTTTTCTTTTTTGAGACAGACTCTCACTACATTGCCCTCAGTAGAGTGCAGTGGCATCACAGCTCACAGCAACCTCAAACTCTTGGGCTTAAGCAATTCTCTTGCCTTAGCCTCCCAAGTAGATGGGACTATAGGCACCCACCACAATGCCTGGCTAATTTTTTTTGTTGCAGTTGTCATTGTTGTTTAGCCAGCCTGGGTCAGGTTTGAACCCACCACCCTTGGTGCATGTGACTGGTGCCATAACAACTGTGCTACAGGTGCCAAGCCAGAACTTATTATATGTTCAGATTTTTTTGGAGACAGAGTCTCACTATGTCACCCTCCATAGAGTGATGTGGCATCCAAGCTCACAGCAACCTCAAACTCTTTTTCTTTGTAGAGACAGAGTCTCACTTTATCAACCTTGGTAGAGTGCTGTAGTGTCACAGCTCACAGCAACCTCTAACTCCTGGGCTTAAGCGATTCTCCTGCCTCCGCCTCCCAAGTAGCTGGGACTACAGACACCTGTCACAATGCCCGACTATTTTTTTTGGTTGCAGTTTTGGCTGGGGCCAGGTTTGAACCAGCCACCTTCGGTCTATGGGGCTGGCGCCCCACCAACTGAGCCATAGGTGACACCCCACAACCTCAGACTCTTCAGCTCAAGCCATCCCTTTGTCTCTGCCTCCAGAGTAGCTGGATCTACAGGCACCTGCCACAACGCCCAGCTATTTTTAGAGATGGAGTCTCACTCTTGCTCAAAGTGGTCGCCAACTCCTGAGCTCAGCAATCTGCCTGCCTTAGCCTCCCAGAATGCTAGGGTTACTAGTATGAGCCACCACAAGTGGCCTAATATGCTAAGCTCCTTAACTATAATAGCACATTTCATCGTCACAAAAAGCAAGTAAAGTGGGTTCTTTTCCACTTATTCTACTTTCTCAATGAGAAAACTAGTTCCCAGAGATAGGAAATAACCTGCCCAAGGGCATGCAGCCAGGAATGGCTGGACTTTAAATTGACAGTGGCACATTTGCTCCCAAAGTCCTGCTCTTATACCCTTATACCCGTAGCTTATACTGACTCAGGTGCTTGACAGAGAGGAGGAAAGGACATTTTGAGGAATATGGTGAGTTCAGAGAAACCACAAAAGATTTGAGGCAGAAAATGCAGAAAAACAAAGCTAAGGATCTAGGATTGTCTTCCTGGAGGCCCAGGGGAGCCCTGAGCAGGGGAAGGGCAGAGTCAGCTCTGGATACAGAAAAACCTCTCTGGGGCCTTTCTGGAGGCTGGGGAGAAGGGAGAGGAGAGGGAATAGACAGCAAGAGTTTTCGCCAGGCATGTGGTTGGGGCTTGGGACAGAAAAGACTAAGCAGAGTCAGAGGCAGGGTAAATGGCCTTTAGGTTCTCAGGATGAGAGGCCACAGAGGTCAGATGCCAGGGTGACAGCACGTGGAAAGTAGGTGTAGGTCAAGATCTTAACTTCCCTAGGCAAAGGGTCATAGAGACCATGGATCCCAGGATGAAAAGCCAGAGGTCAAAGATTGGGATCTCAGAAAGATGGAGACCTAGAAGAAGTGTATAGACCTTGCTCAAGAGTCAGGGATTCTGGGTAAATGATTTGAGGGCTCTCAGGATGAGGTGATAACAAAGGACGGAGTGTACAGGGTCGGGGTCTCGCCGCATACCGGGCGCGTAGTGGCCATAGGTGGCGTTGCGCAGTTCTTCCCAACCCACACGACCGTCGCGGTCCGTGTCGTACGTGTCCCAGGCCGCGCTCACCGAGTCCCGTATGTGCCGCTGCTGCGTGTGCGCGATCCACGCACGAAGCTCGGCCAGCGACACCCAGCCGTCGCCGTCCCCGGCGCGGTCCATGCGGTCCACGATCCGCCTGCGTACCGGGTGGGGCCCACGTCAGTGTCCGCTCGGCGCACGCCAGGGTCCGCACTCCCGCCAGGTCCCTTGCGCAGAGCCACGCCTCCACCTGAGACATTTCCCCCACCCCGTCGCGTAGGGCTGGAAGTGCAGTCCACGGTCCCAGGGCAAAGTGGTGGGCAGCACGTGCCAACTTTGGGACCCAACCCACCGCAGGACTCCTCCCCCAGCCTAAAGTCTGCCCCCAGAGGTCAGTCACGCTCTTCC